TTGTTTCTTGGATTGCCCTTCCATCTACCTTCACAATTTTCAATTTTGGAATTCAGAAAGAAGTTCAGAGCTGGTAAGTCTAAAGTCTGACCTGTGCTTCTATAACTTTGAAGTAATTGCATTGCGTATATATTGCTTCATAATATTTCTTTTCATTGTCTTTGAAAGTTGCAAGCATGAAGTCAATTTTTAGGTAAAGCAACCCCAGTAAAATTTGGAACAAACTAATGAAGATTCATTTCTCCTGCCTATCGTTCCTTTTGTTCTTTCATAAACATTTAAAGGCTAACTGGCATGCAAAATTGATTTAAACTTGCAGGCAGTTGTTCTTGTGTGTTGGAGTTGGTCTGTGGGCTGGACTTATTATTGGGTTCGTCACTGAGTACTATACCAGCAATGCTTACAGGTACTTGGGTCTCTAGCTGTGTTCTGTTTTGGTGCTTCTTTGACTCTTGCCTATCAGAAACGTGAGTTTTGTTTCATTTATATCCAGCCCTGTGCAAGATGTTGCTGATTCTTGTCGCACTGGTGCTGCCACAAATGTTATTTTTGGCCTCGCATTGGGCTACAAATCAGTGATCATTCCAATTTTTGCCATAGCGGTCAGCATCTTTGTTAGCTTCAGTTTTGCTGCAATGTATGGCATTGCAGTCGCTGCTCTTGGAATGCTGAGCACCATAGCTACTGGTTTGGCAATTGATGCCTATGGTCCCATCAGTGACAATGCAGGGGGCATTGCTGAGATGGCTGGGATGAGCCACAGAATCAGAGAGAGAACCGATGCCCTTGATGCTGCAGGAAACACCACTGCTGCTATTGGAAAGGTAAGTCAAATACTCTCGTACTTCGCTGAATGTTGTTAGTTCTAGTTAGAAAGTCACTTAATTGCCTCTTTGTTGACTAGCATTCAATTATGGTAATAGGGATTCGCCATTGGATCTGCTGCTCTTGTGTCTCTGGCCCTCTTTGGTGCGTTTGTGAGCCGGGCAGGAATTTCCACAGTAGATGTCTTGACACCAAAAGTATTCATTGGCTTGCTTGTTGGCGCAATGCTTCCTTATTGGTTCTCTGCCATGACAATGAAGAGTGTGGGAAGTGCTGCCCTTAAGATGGTTGAGGAAGTGCGCAGGCAATTTAACACCATCCCCGGTCTCATGGAAGGAACTGCAAAGCCCGATTATGCCACCTGTGTCAAGATCTCCACAGATGCATCAATCAAGGAAATGATCCCACCTGGTGCTCTTGTCATGCTTACTCCATTGATTGTAGGCATATTATTTGGCGTCGAAACCCTGTCTGGTGTGCTTGCAGGATCTCTCGTCTCTGGCGTACAGGTAAATGTTTTAGCTGAAATGTGCTAAAAGCTTCAAATGATCTTTCTCTTTGTCTCTCTAATCCTGGATCATCTTCGGTTGGTAGATTGCCATTTCTGCATCTAACACAGGTGGAGCCTGGGATAACGCCAAGAAGTACATCGAGGTAGATAATTTGAATTGGACCTACACATTCAGTTCCTTGAGTATGCATGAGAAACTTCATTTAATTTGTTAACTCGTTTATTCGTGTTGGTTTTGTGATATTAGGCTGGAGCTTCAGAACATGCAAGAACTCTTGGTCCCAAGGGGTCTGATCCACACAAGGCCGCTGTCATTGGTGACACTGTTGGTGATCCCCTCAAGGACACATCTGGACCATCATTGAACATTCTCATCAAGCTTATGGCTGTCGAATCACTCGTGTTTGCTCCCTTTTTCGCCACCCATGGTGGTCTTCTCTTCAAGATTTTTTAAGATAAAAAGGAACAAATTATAATCGGAACATGTCGATAGTCCCTCACCAAGATCAATATCTCTCCTCCTTTTGCCTTTTTCTAACTTTATTTCAATCATTTTTTGGTGTTGAGGTCACTAGAATATAGGTAAGTGGAGGAGAACTGATGATAATGGCGAAATGTCTTGCAGAGTTGAGAAAATCAACATTCTTTTCCCTAGAGTAAATGATTCTATATACTAAAGAGAAGTTGAAAATTTTGTTAGCTTTTTCATTTGTGGTTATTTTGGTGGTCTTTTTTCGTTCCCCTCGGCCTAAAACATTGCATATTTTTAATTTTTCATGCATGCTGTGAATGGCCTCATGTTCTTAATATTCTTACAGACGTTGATAATGCATAAATAAAAAGAGTTTAAATTATATACTTAGACAGTGTAAAAGAATTTTTACATTATTAGGTTACGTAAAAGATAACTACATACAGTCGTTCGTAAACTAATAATCTGATAAAAATAAGGTTCGATACTTTCACATTTTAGTGTAAAAATTCTTTATGTCATCAATATATACTATAAGTTAAATCCATAAAATATCACTCTCCCTTTAATTTTTTTTTTGGGTAATTTTTTTCTCCCTTTGCTTGTGTCCCTCTTCTGCTCAAGTAACAGGCTAGGTTAATTAATTGTCCACTTAAATTATATGAAACAGATTCAGAATTCAAATCAAAGAAAATGAAGAACTTACAACTGTTTGATGAACAACTTGCAAGCTTTTTAATTTCAGAAATGATTAAAACAAACAATTCGTAAAAAATCTTAATTCAGCATTATTCAAGTTAAATCAATTGCTTTTCTGTATATACCAAAAAAACAAGAATCGCGGATGGACAAATTCTGTAGCTAAATAGAAAAATTCGTTGCTCCTATTTAGCGATGGATTAGCAACAAATTATCAAAAAAATTTATTAATTATAAGCGATTTAGTGATAGATTAGCGGCGAAGTTGATAACTAATTTTAATTTTTTTTTGTCTGTAAAAGATGACCGTAGTAAAATGTGGAGATTGTTGTGTTTCTTATGTCCATTGTCTTTGCTAGTAGAATGTATATTTTGCACATATTATGGTTAATTTGGTTTATATGATGAAAGTATTTCGAAATGAACTACTATTAGTTTTCACGTAGACTGAATGATAGAGAGAACTGAGAGAGATTCATGAAAAAGATAACCTAACTTTATTCAACCATTATTGCAAAAGAAAAAGATAAAACAATACAATAAGAATTGCTTAACTCCAAAGACTACTCTTTATTTTTATTTTTAACAACCTTCGCGTATTTAGAACTGCCGACTAATCCAAATTCACGTCAATAAGGTTCATCCAAGAAGAAACGCTCCTTACCAGAATTTTTTTATTCCCAAGACTCGAACCAGGGGTCTCTCTAGTTAAAGGTGGAAAGATCACATCCATCCACCACGACCCTTGATAACTCAAACGACTAAAATACTTCTCATTTTAAACCTATTAAAAAAAAAACAATCACCACTATCGCTCCATCCCTTTTATCTTGGTTTGATATTACTCAGAAAGAAAATATCAAACATATTATTTCCACTTTCTCAAAAGCATATTATAAAAGTGGCGGAGGCAGTATTTGAGCTTCAGCCGAACAAAAACTCTTAATAGCAGGAGGGAAAAATGGATTAAAAGGGAAAATCTTAGGCCAACAACCATCATCAATATCCAAAGCAGCTTTGCAACATTGAGGACCAAGTAAATGAAGTTGAATACTTAAAAAAGATGTAATTATTTCTTCAATACAATTAGGAACATCATTAACTGATGTTAAGCATTTTGTAATTGAATCAGGACCTATTCCTCCAAAATTTGGTAATAATCCAAGAAATTGACCAAAACAAGGTGTAGTCACAATTGTCATGGATAAAACAATTAGTATAGTTGAATAATATAGGGTTTTCGGGCTCGCCATCGAGAAAAAAAATTTACTCGCACTCGGTGTTTATGTTGTAATGTTGTTGTATGAACTTTGGTTTGTGAGTATGAATTATTTTGGAGGTGGGGTTGTGGTATTTATATGCAAATTAACAAGAAATAATAGTGAAATATTGAAATGTTACATGAGTTTAATTTTTGGTTGTTTAATGTTAGCATTTAATTGATATATTTTAAAGATGTTATTAGTATTAGTATTTATTGCTTTCTTTAGGACGGAGTTATTTTTCTGTAAATACTATATAGTAAATTACTTTAAATTTGTTGATGCATTAATTTCAGTCCTTGACCCTCGATTTAATATGAGTCATCCTCAACAAAAAAAAAAATTATAAACTAATTTTTCTTATTGTACTTGCACTATTTCATATGTCTTCAAATAGCAAAGATTCAGCTTAATATGAATGAATTAAACTATTTATATCTCTAATTTAGAATAAATTGAGAAAGTTCCTTTTTCGACATCATTATTCGAAGAATTTGATAGTTAAATTTAAAGCCAATTTGTTGTTCTTACAGATGTAATATATTGAAATTTCATCCAATAAAACGAGTTCTTAACAAGGGTAAGCCAGTACGATACACAAGATAATAATCCTTAACGTTAAATTTTTTAACTATGTTCAATATGCGAAAGGGCGGCCCGATGCTTGAAGCATTTTGTGTAGGAAAGACCGCACCCTAAGGGTGTGATGTAAGCAGTCAACCCTGATGCACGCATCAATGACTGATTTCACGGCTCGAACCCATGACCTATAGGCACCCGGAGACAGGGGAAGGGGTAGAGTGCGAGATGCGGGTTCAATCGAATCCAGTAACTTTTGTTCAAACCATGTATTTATCTTAAGAAATTCATTGAATATGTACAACTTATTAATTTAGAACCTAATAACTTAAACGTATTATAATTCCGAATCCATAAGGTTCAAATCCTGGCTCCGCCTCTGCACGGGGACAACTTTACCATTACTCCAAGACTAACTTTTATCTTTGCATAAATAGTCATAATGAAAATTACAACGGACTAAAACTGAAACTCATTTTGGTAGTAAATATACATAGCTAAACATACATTTCATAAATATAACATAAATGATCTTTATGACCCCAAAATCTCCCTATAAAATACCTTTATATTATCACAAAAAATTCACAGCCATCACCAAAAATAAAATCCTCAAAACTAGGGGAAAAAGAAGAAGAAAAATTCAAGAATCATGGCAACAAAATTTCTGAAGATATTTGCATTTTTCATTATATTAGGACTGGCAAATTCAGTAGTAATGGCCAGACTTGATCCAATATTGGCACCAAGTCCAAGTGATAATGATTTTTTTGAATGTTGGTCATCTCTTCAAAGTATAAGTGAATGTGTAACAGGAGTTTATAAAGCATTTACTGGAATTGGATGGCTTGATTCTTCTTGTTGTGAAGTTGTTAATGGCATTGATAGTAATTGTTGGCCTAAAATATTTCCATTTAATCCTAGTTTTGGTGATACTTTGATTTATTATTGCAGTCTTTCTCCAGCACCATCTCCAGCATCTGCAATTTGAAGATGGAATTGACAGTATTTGGTTGAATTAAGCACTTTTTTTTTTTATGATGCAAAAATGTAGTGAATGTAGGATTTGGTTGATTGAAAATGAGAGCGAAAGTTGGAAATTTGAAGTTTCTTGTTAGGCATTTAGTCGGTTGAATAAACTTTTACTTGTATGTCTTTGAAAGAGTTTATGTTCTATGCACTAACGACGTAAAGAAATTTTACGCTATCAAGTTATGTTGAAACACTGCATACTCTTGTATTTTGTTGGTATTATGTTTCTATGACTAGCTGTCGTTTCTTTCATTTGGTCATCTTACTATCTTGTTGTTTTTATGCTGCTTTTACATGGATTCTTAGTGTTGTTTCTTCTTGTTTTTCTTTTCACTAGTCTCTGGACACGTGCATGTGTCGTCCCACCGTATCTGATCACAATTCCAGCACTCGAATGACTAAAACATTCCTCATGCACGATCATCCAACTAGGAATACTTCCATAATTCTTCTGTACCCCATAATAATAATTCGAATATCAACAGTCTATCAACCAGGTGAGTACCGCACTACTAATGAGCATACATAAGTAAAAACACAATACACTTTCTGAGATGCACATCATTCTCAGGGATTACCGGGCAGTTGATAACATTCACCTAAATATCTGAAATGGCCATGATGTCCAAAATTTGTGATACTCCATTCAAGAATGAACTGCCACCCTTTACATGAAACTCTTAATCCCACACAATACACCATGTATACCACGCCATCATATGACAAGCACAAGAATCTCATTATCAATTCCGAGTTACCACCAAATTACCTGCCGGTTAGTTAGAAACCTTCCAATGGCTCCCACCCCAGGGCAAGTCATAATATACAACATGTGCCTCACACCGGTAGAAAATGTCCGGCTCAAACCATGGTAGAAACCATTAAGAACACCTTAAAATTTATTTGCACATAATCAAAATATCAAATATGGATTCCTCTAACTCGACCAAGCCACGTAGGCTGCCAAACCCATGAATGTTGTCACCCAAAACCTATGTAGAGAATCATCTCATAATAAGTAAACCAAGAACTGATCATATCCATTATCGTTTGGATCCTGCTTACTACCAAGCTATATCACTTTGTTTTCTCTCCGATTTACCCTCAGGTTGACACTCTTACTTGACATACACCAGTAATGTTACCCAAAGCTCACTACCAGGTATCCCAACATAAAATCACATGGCCATAAGGCCCATAAGCTATGATATTCTTCTTAAGTACCCCTTAAGTATCACAACCCAAAACGCCCACTCTAAAAGTACCTTATAAATTTAAAAATCATTCTTTTACCTCCCTTGTACTGGAATACAGAATCCATAGTCATATAGAAGTACTGCAAGTTTTGATATTATCTCAATGTAAATAATTGATTATAGCGGTATATAAATCCGAACAATTTTCAATTGCCACATATACATTTTTGAATCCATTAGAACTCTCTCAAGAGTCGTCTACTCTGCTCAATTTAAATTGTACCGCCCAAATAGCCAAAAGACACCTGCCACATTAACACAAAACACCTAAAGAAGTAACCATGTCTTAACATTATCAATCAAGTTCGTACTTTATGTGCATTACATTCTTCAAAATAACCACTTAATCATTTCATGATTTTCATATCTTCATAAAGTATAACATACCTCGTATCCAAAAATTTCTTACGCAAGTCATCTTCGACCACAATCTCCTCGAATCACAATCAATTCACAAGTATGCCTCAAACCGAAACCAACATAACACATAACCATGTAATTAATTCATCGATAGCAGACTCCCCCACTTGGCTCTAAGCCTTAAATCAAAATATTTGATAACTTACAATGCCCATACTCTATTACTGCCATAATACTATAGTGAGATTCAGTCAAATTCTTCCCAATTTATGCAACACAGTTTATATGGCATCTCAATTCGTCTACTAAGCTCGCCTTCATTCAAGTGACGGTCAGGTGAACTCTCTTGACTAATTCAAATTCAAATCTCAATGCATCTACCGTACTTGTAGTAAATAAAATTCTCCACACAATAATATAATGATCGCACATACATAGTTTACCCTGTAGGTGATAACCCACATGCTTATCTTCAAATTGACGTCTCTCTATAACCTTTCACAGCCACAACTACTACGCCATCACTTAATCTTTCTGAGTTTGACTCATTAACAAGACATGAATTATTATTATTTTTTTAACCTCTCGAGAAACTCTTCTCTTCACGTTCAAACCTTCCAAACGCATTCCCGAGTCGCATCATAATCATCATTTATTCATTCCACCACTTGTTGAGCCACAAATTTTAACTCATAAGGACACTACCGGACACATAAGTCCAAATCTACAAATTCACACCACTGAAGCTACCGAGCCTAAGCTGCAGTCGAAACCCAGTCTCAAGTCTTCTATACTGGCCCATTACCGAAACACCGAATACACATCTCGAATCTCATTCGTAGAATCACAAGTCGGCAATGCACAACTGATACCGAGCGCTCATGTGCGCATACGAACACGTGGAAGAAATTTCAAAAGTTACATTTCAAGTTGAATCAATGACGCACGATAAGAATTCAAGAGTGTGAAAATTTTCCTAAAGGTTCTGCAGCCTCTCGAAGATAAGTACAGACGTCTTCGTACCGATCCGCAAGACTCTACTAAATCTGCTCATGACTCGTGAGACCTATATAACCTAGACTCTGATACCAACTTGTCACGACCCAATTCCCGAACCTGGTCGTGATGGTGCCTCTCATGAAGACAAGGCCAGCCATTCAACCCAATTCATCCTTTTAAGACAATTAATTAACACAATTATAGTATAAACATGGTTTAATAATATCTAATAGCGTAAAGTATAGATAAAATACGAAAATCCAACCCAACTCAGCCCTAACCAGGGTGTCACAAGTCAGGAGCATCTATAAGAATGAAATTTCCACATTACGGTCTAGAAATACACGGAACAAGAATAATGAATAACATAGAGAGACAGTGGTGTTGCAAACGCTGGCAGTCACCTCGCAAAAACCTCTACAACGCTGCCTTCACGCAGCTAATACCCGCTACCAGGTGAATATATACCTGCAACTGCACGCGAGGTGCAGGGAGTAAAGTGAGTACTCCAACTCAGTGAGTAATAAATATAAATAATGACTGAAGGTAAGAAAACACGTTAAGGCACACAACATTCTATACATAAGCAGTGAAATCATTTAAAATAACAATTCAGTGAAATATCATGTGAAATTTCTTTTAAACAAGTAAAACATGTAATTTAGCAGTAAACTGACAAGTAGAAATCTGCCCCTCGGGCTCAATATCAAAACAACAAGTAGAAATCTGCCCCTCGGGCTCAATATCAAAACAACAAGTAGAAATCTGCCCCTCGGGATCAGTATTAAAATAACAAGTAGAAATCTGCCCCTATGGCTCAGTATTAAAATAACAAGTAGAAATCTGCCCCTCGGGCTCAGTATCAAAATAATAATTAGAAATCTGCCCCTCGGGCTCAGTATCAAAATAATAAGTAGAAATATGCCCCTCGGGCTCAGTATATTAGAACAGTATCAGCCCCTCAGGCTCAGAACAGTATAAAGCAACCAGTCAATGGAATAAGTGCACATAATTGTTATGACAGAAAAGGAATAAATGCATGAGTGCAATGCAATGCATATGATGGTACACTCTATGCATGAGTGCAATGCAATGCATATGATGGTACTCTCTAGTACCCACTGCGGCGTGCAGCCCGAGCCATCCATTTTATTAATCGTCGACGGCGCTCATTGGGGTGTGTGTACAGACTCCGGAGGGGCTCCTACAGCCCAAGCGCAATATCAAGCCATCTCGTGGCATCAAATCTAGGCCCTAGGCCTCATATCAATATCAGTATAATCACCGAAGCTCTCGGCCTCAATATCAACGTAAACAGGCTCTCGGCCTCAATATCAATGTAACACTGCTGCGGCGCGCAGCCTGATCCATACTCAGTCCAGAAATCATCGTAAGCCCCTTGGGCATTTGTAAAACAGTAGTTCTCAGCCCGAAATATCATTTAGAAATATCATTTAAGTTTTCAAATCTTAGAAAGATGGCTGAGTTTGCAAAATAGTATTTTAAAACGTTAGACAGAGATCAAATGATATGCATATATGCGAAAACAGTGATGTCAATCCCTGAAGGATTCAAATAATTGGCAAGAAGCCCAAATGTAACAATTAAATCCAAGTAAGGATGATT